GTGCTCTGTGGCTCTTCCATACCTCACAGAGCATTCTCATATTGGAATTACTACCCAAAGCCACTGCCATCGAGTCGATGCTGACGCCTAACAGCCCCGAAGGACCTATTAGAACCGTTCCCTGGGGCATGAAAGACTGCAAACATTTATGGGAGCAGACAGATTCATCTTTCTCCCGGGGAGTAACTGGTGGGTTTGACCCACAGCCCTGGAATAACCTACAACGCCCCCAGGGCTGCTTGGAAAGATCACACGACACGGGGATTATAATTATGCATTTGCCCATCTGCTGGGGGCACTGGGGCAACCCGGATTTTATTTTACAAACTATGGGGTTCTGTGTTTAAGTAATCCATGACCTCGTAGAGTATGAGGTCCGTAAAAGCTTAAGGAGGTTCCCTATTTGCTTTGCCGCTTATGAAACTCTCTGAGGTCTTTTTAGATCGTGAGAAAGTACTGAGGAAGACCCGATCATCTTGTATGGGCCAGGACCCATTCAGGCATAAAGATCAGGACGAAAGTGCCCGGCGGCTGACCCTGCGTATTTCAGGTAGTCAGATCAATGCAACCACGGCTGCCTCTGCCCTCAGACTGGGCTCTCCTTGATGGAAGAAGAGAGGGTATTTGCAGAGTAGAAATAACAACAACAACACACGGTTTTCATATCATTTAGATCAAGGTTCCTTTCTGTTCCCCCCTGGTTTCAAATCTCTTCTTAATGGCCCAGAAGCACTTGAGTTCTGGACAAACTGTCTCCTCAGCTGCTGCCAACAAATAATTACTGCCTGCTACCTGCTTTGGAATAGCCAATGGTAGAGTGGCAGTTATGCAAAACTGTCCTGTGCAAACAAAGACATCTCGTCCCCAGTCTGCCTCCGTCCACGGCATAAGCCTTCCGACAACTCTTCATGGGAGATTTGAATGCGGAAGAGATTTTTTGTAAAGAAAGTCACATGGAGTGGTTTTACTTTTAAAACAGAACGCCATCGAGTTGATTCTGACTCACAGGTACCCTGTGTAGTAGCGTTTCTTACAGCGCAAATCTTTACAGGACCTGACCACCTCATCTTTCTTCCACGGAGATGGCGGCTTGGGGCGATCGGCTTTGCCTATTAGCAAACCTTCTTTATGAGTCAGGATCATTGTAAATGCACTGCATGAAGCAAACCGGCTGTGGGTACATGCACTCTGACTCACGGTGACCCTGTGTGCGGCAGAGAACCGTGCAGCGCACGGGGTCCAATGGTTGATCTTTCAAAAGTCAATCACCAGGGCCTTTCTTTTGTGGCTCCTCTGGGTGGACTCAAACTGCCAACCTTTTGGTTAACAGCCGAGTGCATCAACTGTCTGCACTACCCAGGGGCTTCTCAATGGATTGTAGAGATCAATATTTAGGTGAATTCTCCTTTCGCCAGCCTGCACCTCTTTTATCTTCCTAGCTACTGTCACTGAGGTGATTCTTATTCATAGCAATCCTGTAGAGGATTTCCAAGGCTGTCAACCTCGATGGGCATGGACAGCCTCAGCCGTCTCCTGAGAAGTGGCTGGTGCATTTGAACTGTTGACCTTATGGTTAGGAGTCCAGCGCTGACCCAACAGCGCCACGTGGGTTCTTCTTTACCTTAGTAATGGACAAGGAAGGGAGAGTCTTGGCCTCAGCTCGCACTTGGTCAAGTTTGTTTTCCGGTAGAAAGAGTTGAGGGTCTGGAAGTTTTCTGAGTACAGCCTGCTTCCAACCTTGACCAGGTCAGTTTCTAAGCGTCACACAGCTTATGTCCAGAAAGCTCTTTTAATGTTCCACAGCTGGAATTCTGTGGATGCAGCCATGTTCCCGTATTTCAGGTATGGGCGTGAACATTGACATTTTAGCACCCACCAGTGAAGCAGTTGCTACAATAATAATCTCAGAGGAACCTGAAGGGTGGGAGGCACCGTGGGTGTGTTAAACTCATTAATCCTGGCTACCCCAGGATGGCCTCTGGTGGACAGCAAGAGTGCTTCTGGGTAATGTGTTATGAACATGGATGCCAGCAAAAGGCAGGTGGAGGTAAGCAGTCTGAAATGTCTCTTGGTTTTATGTGTAAGAAAAGAAACGTCCTTTTCAGTGGCTTAGGCTTTAC